CGCTGAAAAGTCAGGGATACATATGGAAATTAAAACTGTTTTATTCACAGTTGGTTCCACGTCTATAGCTATAATGAATGAAGAGTTTGAACGGTAAAAATGTATTTTGCAAAAAGTTGACCTTCGTTGTTGTGTGCCAAAATGCTCACCTTGTTTACATCAAATAGGAGAAATGTTTTGGTAACCATAGATATTTTCTATTATTTGGAGTTGTTTCGGTCCATTCCAAGGAAGCAGACGATCAGTTGGGGTTTTTCTTGACTCTTTACAAAGTTAGACATTCTGATGTTCTACAGTCTGGGTTTTAAGGGTAATGCTTTCATTCTTTTTGGTTCACTGTCAAGCGTGTAGTTTCGGATATGTAAGAAATTACCAATTTTTTACTTTAAGTATTGACATTTCAAACCTTCGAAAAATCTTTCTAAAATAACCATCGATTTCCGCAGCGCGTTTTCTTCTCACAGTTTGATGTCGGCTTTGAAGAGCTCAGCATTTCCCACTAAAGCTGAGATGTAGTGACAGTACATGTGTTTGAGCTTGACCTTTAATTCTCTGCAAAGTATTTTTGTAATACTGGAGCTTCGAGTTGCTCAAGTAGTTGATATACGTGTTCGTAATCCAAATGATTTGAAAATTTGGTCATCCAGTTCAGGTTCAGCTTATACCTGAGTTTAACCTTGAGTCGGTTTGTGAAATGAAATCTGCTGTCGAAACCATCTGGCGTTCACAGTGTATCAACGACCCACTTACCACTCTGAACTACGCCGAATCGTCAGCAGTGCATAGACAGAGTAATTCGCGATTCCTGTTGAGTACACAGCGCGCAGCACTGCCTCATGAATCGTCATTTGTGGAAATTCTGACAAGCTGTGGATCTTGCTTTTTATTGATGTGCTACATTTGTCGACCAAACCAACAATAATGTAACGTTACAATGGTAAGGGATGTGGGAGGTTTGGCGCGGAACCGTCCTCAGAAGATAGTCTTCAATTCACTTATCATGTATTGTTTTGTGCACCGGCAAACTGGACAGTTATGTCACAGTCACATGAAAACAACGAAATCCATTCTAAATGAGACTGAATAATAAATGAATGTGATGTAACTGCAAGAACGATATTGTGAAAGGTTAACATATCATATGCTTGGAGGCTTGCCAAGACTGATTTGAACACCTTTGTGAACTCAAGAAAAAATGGTAGATATTTGAACGTGTGTCCAAGCTTACTTATTCGAAACGGTGAACATTTCAATTTGCTCCTAGAGTACGTTGTATTTCCAGGACAGTAAACATTAGTCATATATATCAGTACTGTGAGGCTCCATATAAACTACTGTCGTTGATGGAGTTTTGTCAGAAGAACAGTTTGAACCATCGGCTGAGCCACCCTAACATCCATTTGTTGACTAAGAATCAAATATGCTCTAGGTCAGTCCCTTTACACGGTTCACAAACACGATCATCGCGGGCAGAAATACACAGAGACCGTCGTTATTTGAGGATCAGTACCTTCGCAGTATGGCTCGGATGTGGCAGTAACACCGGATCAGAAATAACGACCTTAGGCATCATTTTTTGTGAACATGAGGTTAGTCACTAGAACGAGTCCTCAGTCCGAAGAAGTTACGATGTCTGGGATGTGTTACTTTTTTAACGGACCATCTTTCTTGGCGTGCATTGTTCCCTAAAACAGTTAGAAGCTGTTGAGTGATTTGAGACGGTCAATCCATCAGAAGGAAAAATGAGTACGAGAAATTTTACCGGTGGACTTGATCGGGTTGGGCTAAATGCGCTTCTGGGTTGGAGTTCGCAAGATCCGCCCACCGTATGTTAGACACATCAGGTAACGTGGCTAGGAGTTGCGGCCGGTGGATTGGTTGCATTCAAGCTATTTTTTGTCTAAATAATTTTCTTTAAAAGCTTTTTATTTTGCTTGCCTTTTCCATACGCTAATATTTGTTTAGTTCTCAACTGGAACATGCATCAAGGTAGCAGCACATAGAGCACACAAATTCAAGAATCTTGATGGGACCGACTGAAATAAATTGAAGCCCTTCAAGCCAGTATGAAAAAAAATTAAACACAAACGTCCTTCAAGTGCTTCCTTCAGGTAATAAAATCACCGTAACCCAGAAACATGCACCTAACAATCAAAAATAGCATCAAGTAGATGTGTAATCTGTACGAGCACAAAAGCTTCAGTGGTCACAAAAAATGGCCATCTATTTTGTGATCCCCAACAAATGTATATTGATTCCTTGAAACTCAACCATTAAACCTAATGAGTCCTACAAGGCCAAACCCAATAAGTTCAGCCTTGATACCTTCCTTTACCTCTTACGTAAAAATCCTAATTTATCTTTCGACCATTTCCAATGCCACTGAATACCACAAGCCGAGGAAGTCTACCAGGGGAATTGCAAAACACATTCTTCAACATGCTACTAAAATAATCCCGGGGCCAAAGAGAGGAGTGCAGAAATGAAGAGGTAGGGACTTGGTAAAAACCCCGAATCATTTAAGAACAATGTATATACTTGCAACAACAAAACCAGTCGGACGTTATTCCTTATGTTAAATAACACAACTACGGAGAATAAAATGATATCTGAATTGGAAATAACATCAAAGTGTACAATTATTGAACTGGAAAATTATCAAAAATTCTCCTTTTCTATTAAAAAACCGTTGGCTGGTTAAGACTGCCCCACGGATTGTGCTAAACTGTTAAATACAAGTTTATTTCATCCAAGACGGCGTTCAAACACACGCATTTGGAACACCCTCACAACAGAACCAAAAGCCACATCCTGTATAAATAATGACGCCACATCATAAGCTTTGAATATCTCACAGCCAAACGTAACTGAGATCTCAACGTAATGACTCTGACTAGAAAAAAAGAACGTAGTGCATATAACAAATACGCGAACATGACTGAATAATAAAGTTGGGTTTTTCGCCCTGGATGTTGTTGGACGAAACATATTTTTCATTTTAAGGCAAACATGACCAGTGGTAATCGAGTGGCTTAGAGCAGTTGATTACCACCTCTGAGGTTAAAAATTCGAATCCCCGCCATCACCGTTGACTTTAGTGGTAGAAAACAATCCCCTCTGTCGTCCGGCTGGTTACCACACCTGACTCATTGGGGCCTTATGTGTTTATCCACTCCAAGTCTCACCGTCTGGTTGTCTACCATCCCTATAAGAGCAGTGAACTTTCGTGGCTATGGGGTATTTACTCCTCCTACGGTACTTGTGCGCAAGCTTGTATTAAAACAAAACCAAAATTGAAAAATACTCACAATGAATGCTATAACAATTTGCATTTTCCTACTTGTTTCACATAGATTAATTCTAAAAGAAGGCACAAAATCTTACTAGTCAGAAAGCCATAACTGAGGACAAAATCTTTATTGGTTTCAGTGATGCCAAGCATGTGTTACTCAAACATTATAACCATGCAGTTGGAATCGGGTTGTTTTTCACCAAGAATAACAAGCGAAGTGGAAGCTTTTTATCACCGGCCAATGTGACATCAGCATTGGCTGATGAGCCCGAGCTAACTGACAGAAAGTCATGTTCGACCCATCAATCAAGCAGGTATTTTTTACCAACAAAACCACTAACTCTACTCGGTTCATAAATTTTAAAGATATGAGGAAGGTTGTGACAGACGATCCAAAAAACCGAATAAAAATTGAGATGCCAGATCAAAACATTCTGAATTTGTTGATCGCTAGAGAAATTGCTTTTGTCTGATATTCAACTTTCAACCAAGCACTTCAGACACCGAAATGAAAAAAATTTCTTTCGGGTTCTTGAAAACTCGTTCACAGACCACTGTACAAATAGCCATCAAGGGTAAACAATGTTTTATCAGTTAACTCTTGTCCATCCGCCAGTATGGAATGGTTTGCTTCAGTGATTAGTGTCTGTAACTGATCTTTTCCTGACTATCCACATTATAGCCTTAGAAATTCAGTCGTGCTCAAAACTATCCTACGTAGGAGAACTGGTTCTTTACCAGGCCTAGCTTTTACCTAGTGAAAATCCACTTGCATTTTGCACAACGAAGAGTCAAACTCCTTGAGCCGGAAACGAACTGGCGACACACCGCCTACCGGGCAGATCCTCTACCAGCTGAGCTATCGCGGTATGGATAGTCGGGTGTGAATAACGCAAGCGAATAATCAATGATGTGCAAACCATTATTCCAATGATACATTGCAACTGTCCTGGTTTCAATCACTGGGCTATCCTCGTCGATCATTTCCCAATGGAACGAACAGCATACGGCTGAAATGATCCACTGAACATTGAAATATATTCACAGAATGCATTAGTGGCATGAGGAGCCTGAATCTTGAGTAGGGAATAATCCACTTTTATTATGCCAAATATAAGTACAATATCTAATAACATACTCTCTGATGATTCACTTAATTCGCGTTCTGTTTTTTTACTTTAGGAAAACGGAAAGACGAGAGAAAGTTTGGTTAAAGCATGGTTAGGTAAATCACATTGTACCTCGAAAATCGAGTGTTTACCGGGTTAATTTGCCGGTGGCTCAAAAATAAGCACCAGTGAACACCCACTATACGACCAAACACTGGAGAGCCTCTACCATTTTAAAACGGAAAATATGGAGTTTCGAGTACAAGGAGCAGTTCTTCAAAACGTGAAAATGTTGCACACAATTCTCATATGTTATCATTTCAACTCCTCTACTTAAAAAACAAAGCAAAATATTTCACATAGACCTGTCAAACGGTTCTTTAAAACTACATTTACTTTAGATATGGATATGCTGTAAGTAACGTTCAACATATCTGAATGTCACACCAATAAATAATACTGACTGGAGTAGTGCGAACGTGTGAAACGTGATTGACAATGGATTTAACTGCCGCTTGAGGATATTATTGCTCAGCATCCTTCTTGAATGTTTTTCATTTGTCTCCATATCCACACCTCTATGCGATCTGAACAAACAGAAACGGGGACTGATCAAACGATTTGCGCTATCGGAACGAGTCATTATCCGCTATATGAATGTGGTTGAGGATCACTATCGGGCCGTAACCTATCATAATCGCGTGCACGCAGCCGATGTTGTCCAATCTACACATGTGCTCCTCAACGCACCGGCTCTTTCCGTAAGTTTTTGTAGTTTATACAGAAAAATCTCCGAGACAAAATAATCGTTCTAGTTTCCGGCTTTAATCCACGTTGGTTTTGCGTACTTGATCGACAGATACGAAAAAAACAAAATAATGACGGCAAGGTGGACCACGAAAACTACCTTTTTGGGGGGAATAATAGTTTGAAACATGATTTTTGTGTTAAAAACACCATCCGTAGATTATTTTATATTAGCTACTTCTCACTTTATATATATATATATATGCGTTTTTATCGTCTTTCACACGGTAACCTTCCACTTGTATCCCATATGGTTGCATCATAAAACTACCGCGTCAGATTATCTATCCGGAATCAGTAGGTCGAAAGATTTCTATTTATAACCTTCTCATCTGTTTCAATAGGCGAAATAAAAATAGCACCCAAGATAATAATCGCCCAATTACCCGACTGATTAGTTGAATAACTGATTGACTCCCTTATTTATTTATAAGCTGACTGATACGCTGACTGGACGACTGATTGGTTGATCGATGGGTTGATAGTTTGGATAACTAGTTAATTGATGGACTGAATGATTTTTACATTTCACATCTTCCCTCGGCCACTGAACGAACTTGTTTCCGGTTCGGTGATTACAGAACTGAACACGGTAATGGTGACACAACTACGTGCTTTTTATAGGAAATTTCGTCACTCTTCATCAGTATTATCAGCTACCAAAACGCAATAAAACAATGGTGACGCACTCGATGCAAAATCTTTCCATTTTGTCAGTGAGCTTCTATTGGTTGTCAGAATTCCATCGAAAGGGGGTTTGAATCCCAATACTGATAGGCTTGCTGCTGACTACTTTAACGAACACTTAGCCATTCTTTCAGCACCCCTCCGTAAATTTATTGCCCATGCGGAAACTGGCTGACAATGAAAAGCTTGTATTGCCCCAATCTTAAACTCCATGCTACCGGCTGGAACCAAACTACAGAGTTGTTCATCCAGAGTTACGATCACAATCTCATTCACGACGTCCAGTTACCCACAGGCAGCTTCGTATGGCTTCATTCGACGTATCAAAACGGTGTTGTTCGTTATGGAATGCATCGTCTAAAATAATTACAACATTCATAACTAAGACGAATTCCTTCCCTTTTAGTCTAATCCGAAATGACTTGTCTTTTCATGTAAGAAACCTGAAGCACTGAGGGACTTATTTTTATATTTCTTTCTACATTTCAGCATAAACGATTAAATTATATAAAACGGGGTTGAATGCGTTCAACAAATCTGTTATTCCAACAAAGTATTTGATATCTTCTGATTCAGGGAGCGTGCATAAATGATACTGGATATAAGGTAGGCGCCACTAGGAACGTTAGCCCTTGTCTGAGCGTCATTATTTTAGACGCAATAGTCATCATCTTATGTCCTCAGATCACGCCCAAGTATCACACTGAAGTCCCGATCGAACGAGACTGGATAAACACAAGCTGGGTTTTACAATGAGACTTCACACTAAATGACACGGAACACAAGACAAAGTAAGGTATAATATCGAAAACAGCACCTCCATCCCCCCAGAGGAAAGATACATTTGTTTCCTTGATGGGAAAAAATAGTGCTCTGTTGGATCTCTTGGATCCGTACCCGTAAAATAATATGACCCGCGACTAGACAAAGAACACAGGAATAGGGCACCTAATTCCATAAGGCCAGCCCACCGGTTAGCTGGAAACAGAGAAGATGAACATAAATACAGCAGCCCGTATATTTCCGACCGGATGATAGAGAAGGCAAGAACGCTCTCCGCTCGGTCGCTTATGTAGTGTTCATAGACAACTTTGTAAAACTGCGTAGTTGTGACAATCTGAAATCGAAAAATAGTACGGTAAAACTTTCAGGGAGCGAAATGGGAAAATTTACAAGGGTGAAGAAAAAATTAGAAAAAAAGAATGTTGAATTCCTCCATAGTTCAGTGTTTTGGAGAAAAACTATTTTCTAACTGAAATTAGAGACTTTGAATTGGTGGGAAAGTTGTGATTTTCTCCAAAACATCAATATTAGACCCTTCTGCTTTCGATAGTTGTGAATCGTTTGTAAGATAACATTGGGTTCAAAACAGTCCATGATCATTCTGATATCTGCTATCAACCGGATGTTGCAATGTCCCATTTCTTGTATGTTCAACTGTATCAGAGCTACGAGATTCTGAGAAATATTCCACTATCAATAAGGACAAGCTTCTTGGTCCATATCTAAGGTTTTTTGAGCAATAGTGGAGTATGCAACTTGATATGGGGATAGCGGCATTTGTGACCTCCCGACTTGAAATAACAAACGATAGTGCGTTTCATCTCCGCCACGGCCTAAGTAGTCACAGCGCGATGGAATTTTCCAAAGAATTTAAGTAAGTAGAGCGAGCGGAAGTGAATTTTTATGATTTTGCAAAATTTCCAACATATTCTTCGACAAAACACCAATGATGAGTGCTTCATTCCTGCCTCCGTTTTTCGAGGCACGTATTGGTTGGAAGGTATGTCAAGGTGGTTAGTTCGGGGCATTGCAGAGAGGCCCTTTCTTCACCTTCGTGATTTCCACGTATTACATTTTTTGTGTTTCTCCTTCACTTTACAGCTCTATTCCTTTTTCTCGTGTTTCACTTATGCTTTGAATTAACAACCAAAACCATAGGACTGACGTGCGAGATCGATGGTTGATAGCACTGAACTTGACTGTACCTAGCATGCGTATCGAAATTTTAAAGGATCCCAGATAGTACCCACATTTGAGTTCACTCGGCTCACTATCACGTCTGACCCATAGGAATCGTATGTGGTTTTCTGCTTTTCTAATTTTTAGGGTTAGGCTTCCGGTTACCCCCAGTAATGCAGTGGGCCTTTGAAGCGATGGGTTATAGCCCTCATATCCAAGCATGCAACAGAGGAAAATATCCCCATTGACACTTCCTTCGCTGTGCAAAAATTACCTTTTCCGTAAGCATATAGGAATCTTTTCTGACAAATGGATTCGAAAGAGTGATTTTAAATTTGTCTTTTGCGAATTTAAATACCACTATTCCATGGTAACTGAGCTAATAAAAACTGTAATGAAATTCATTCCAATAGTCCTTTCTCTGGTGTCCTCCGATACCAGGTAAGGTTGTCACTCTTATAAACTAAACAGAACAAAATTAAACATTTCAAGAGCTAGTAGTTCACAAACGTGAACTTTCGTAATCGAGCTTGTTTTTTGGTCTGGTGAAACCCCTATTGATAAGGGTATCTGCGGCGCGTGGGTATCTGATATTCACTTACACAGCAGTGTTGCAAAAACTGTTGATCGGTCGGTTTTTAGGCTTACCGTAGATAATTTTCCTGAAAGCAAGTTTGCCCACGTTGAACGAAACGTCAGCTGGTCCCCAACATTTCCGATAACGCCGTGTTACTGAATATCATACGCTTATATATGACATATTGCATGGCGCATCTTTTCTTTGAACCGCTACGAACCGCATTCAGTTCTGGTGCAACAGCCGTAAAGTAACTAATAAAGTATGTCTTCTGGATCCATCTGCCTAATCTCTGAGAAGTACTTTAGCTACACTGGCAATGGACGTTCATTTTGTGTGCTCACACTCAGCTGAAGATGCACAATTCAGAAAAATTAGTCATATGGAGAACAATTCAAGTTATTGCATTTGCATGGCTCATCAAATTTCAGCTTCCAGACAGTTCGGAAATTTAGTCAATGGGGCTTAATGAATTTATTGATCACTTTAGTTGTTCATTTTGAAAGTAGTGAAGCCTTACAAAGCAGGCTAAACTCACCAAAAGCCAAGAAGAAGATATCTGCATAATTATGCAAAGAAAAGGTGATGAAGTAACCATAACGGTTGATTTTCAACTGGAGAAATCTACCTAAACCGTTTATCCGGCAGACACTACTGCCAAGAATTTCATCATCACTACCCAGTTTCAGTCAAAATCCCCAGATGTTTGAACCGATTGTAAAGGCATTTAATAACCGTTTTACATGGAACAACTGAAACTTAATTATCCGCTGTAATCGATAGGCAGACTATGGTTACCTACTCAATCAGTAGTGGGAAGAGAGACTATTTCGGTGTGTGATAGCATGGCACTCGTCGAATGTCAGGCAATGCATCGACGAAAACAATGCTCTTTATGCACATGACCCGTTGATGAAGTTGATCAAGGCTGTTACTTACAGTGAATTAAAGCTGGACGAGCCTATCTTTGGGAACATTTGTGGAACAACAGGTCAAAATGTTTGTCCCACCGGCAGTCTACTCGACTACCATTGTACTGACCTCCCACACCTTGAGTGACGGATGACGTTCACGTCCAAAAAGTAAACCAGATTTCTCCCATGCAACCATTTTTAATCCCAACATAGTCCACGCATTGGATATGGATTTTCGCCAGGCGAATTAATCCCACGGATTGTTCGTAACTAGTTGACTGAGGTGCGCACGAAACTGACGGCCGTATTATCATTCTTTCTCAAGTTTCTCTTCTCTCTTTCCCCCAGAAGCTTGTTGATGTTTGCATAATTCGATCTGATTTGATTTGATTTGATTTGATTCTATTCATGTTTCGCTCAGTTACGTAGCAGCATTCGATAATCGCCGCATAGGCAACACAAGTGTAACCACAATGGATGTATCGATCCAAATGGGCAAAAAACTGTGTTGCTCTACCCATCTGTTGTTTACCAAGCAAAACATGTGAATCTGATGGTCACACTCTCAGTATCGTCCTAAATCCTGGAAAGGTAACAAATTTGTTCGTTGTACAACCTCATTGCCGGAAAACCTTCGGAGAACTGTGATAACTAACAATAAATAATGCTTGATAAACAAAATGCTGTCAGTTATTCATTTTATCACAAGTATTCCAAATTTATCTTAGTCTTGTTTTAGCCTAGCGGGAATTTTATTGAAAAAGACCAGAAAACTTATATTTTTATCCTCATAGTGAATTTTATTTACAAAATATAAGTAGATAGATTGTACTGTTTCTCCACCCTAGGTACATTAGCATATGATATCTGCCACAGTGAATTTGTACTGTGATTGCTTACAACAGGATTTTCCTTCGAATAAACAAGTGTCTATCGCTTAAATATACCAACATATTTTAACTTCGTAACACACTTTGGTTTGGTAAGCAGTATGAGCCACATGTGAAACGTCTGAAGCCCTTGCTTTGATCCCGAAGCTCAACCGGTGTGGTACCTGTGCTACTAAAACGTGAGGAGCGTCTGTTTGTGGGTTCGAGTCCCGCCAGGGTCAACGGCTTTTCACATTTGGATTATCTTGCAATCTGTAACATTTATATAAACTAACTGAGAAAAGCAGTCGAAAAGTCTCGCAATTGTGGGTAGAAGCTTTTACAAAATGAATTGCGCTTCATATATCATTCCTTTATTACAAGCTTGCGCATAAGTGCAGTGAAGGGAGCAATCACCCCACAGCCACAAAGGCCCACTACACTATTTGGAATAACCGGCAACCAGACCCTGAGATTTGGAGTGGCGAAGAACCACATAAGGTCCCAGTAGGTCAGGTGTGATAATGATCCGGAAAACCATGTGATTAATTGATGAATATGAATATCCCCTACAGGACAACATGTATTGATGATGTTCTGTATGCTGATACCATGCAGGTTGCTTTTCAATATGTGTAGTTGTCAACTCACACCAAACGTTTTTAAGGAATCAGAACTTCTTTCCTTCCTGAAAATCTAAAGTGAGCGCATGATAGCTCTTGTTTTCTTTCTGAAGATTTCTGTACCATAGAGAAAGACGTATTTCTTAGCATAATAATGACTATAGGAGTATGTTTTCATACTGCTCCAACGTTCAATTCCGAACTGGAAATCCACAGATGCTACAATGATGGGCCACTTCATTCTTGTTGGGAGTCATCAGCTATACCGTTCTTGGAGGAATTTTTCTGTTGAGCCCAGCGTTCCAAATGCCCATCGAACATTTCAATAAACAAATCAACTATACTACCAAGAAAGTCGATCTAATATTTGTGAAAATGCACCATAATTCGGTTTCTCCTTCCTTTGAAATAACTTTTTTCACTCAGTCGAGATCAGTTTGCCACAGAGTCCTGTTGATTTCTATCTATTTAACTACATACCACTTTTTCATCCGACGAATTACATCAAGTCATCTATAAGTGAACTCTCCGTGCTACGATTTACTCCAGGTAAGGTTAGCATAATTAATTTTGCTTGTCCGATAAAAGCAGAAAGAATTACCACATCTACCATCAGCAATTCGGAATTCAACCGCAAGTAACAAAGGGTTTTATTACTTGGTTGAATTTGTGATACAATGACGGAAAACAAAGATCTATCACTCAAACTCATCACCCACGCATGTTTCGTCTAACTCCATTATAAAATATCGGATGCGGAGCCCAACTACCGAACCAAGCATTGCAGAATTATAAACCTCGCAAGCTGAGAGGGTGGGCATTCTGAACTGTTCCTCCGTGGGTTTCTTTTTTGTCGGCATCGAAGTACACGATATCGCACCCAGCCACTATTATATCACACTGACGTAACAATCAACTCAGCCGACGATCGACTGCTCCTTAATGATACTTCTAAATGATAGCCTCAGACGGGAGTTAGTATTTCATGTTTCTGACGTAGAACTAGTCGCCATCGACCAGTATCGATAGTGTCCTGGATACAGGTTTTCGAGCCATGTGTTATTTTATGTCGCATCGTGCCTTGTTCTTGACCTATATCAAGCCGAATATATTTCACACGTTCAGTTACATCCAAGAATTTTATTCTGCGTGATGAATGGTACAATCTGTGCTTTTGGCGAATTTTTGCACAATAAAATACACACCGGTTTATTTATTAGATTGTACACACCACATATTTGATGCTATTTGAGCTTTAATTCACTAAATCATCAAAACTTCTTCGTTAATTTGAACTACGAGATACAGCTTCTCTAGCATCACAAAATCAATAAACACTAATAAGAATGGCTTAACACCCTATACCAACGCCTAATTTACCGTCGAACTTGAATGGAAGTACTCTCAAAGCCACTTTATCTCCAACAAGAACAACAGGTGGTGCGTTTTCACACTACAATATGTAGTACCCACGAGAATCAAGTCGTAAGCAGGCGTAGTGGCTTGATATTCGAATGGCCTGCGTTTGAGATGCACAGTCCTTCTTGTGGCATCTAAATCCCAGTTAGGTATCGGTGAGTTACCACCTAGGAAAGATCAGTTCTATTGAACTTTTGATTATTTCAGCAATGAGTGAAGTGTTGGTACCAAATTATGTATCGCCTGTGCATTGCACTAAAATTGAACTTGCGCAGCTTAACAGATATACCAAAGAATTACGTCGGCGGTTGGTCATGACGGCCGAATCCAAAGCAGTTCGAAGAATGAAGCCAGAACTGTGCAAAAATGTTACCTCGTGCAACCGTTACCATTTCGGTGGGCTTAACGAGTGTTTCCTTCCTCCACTGCTTTATAAGGCTACATATCATATCGCAGCTACCCAGTACTATATATATATATATATATATATATATATATATATATATATAGCTTTTGGTCAGTTACACTTGAAAAAGAGGCAGTACAATAGATAGACACGATAAGTAATGAACTAGAAAATCTTTGGACTTTTATAACAAGGTTGGGTTGGAAAAACTCAGTATGTAAAAAATAGGAGACAGATTGAATTCGTCTTCAGACAAAGTCCCGGTTAAATGAACAAAGAATGCCAATGTCTGGAGGGAACCACTCACAGAGAACCGATTGAGAGGGAGATTAGTCCCCTGAAGCTGAAGAGAACGAAGAACGTATCAAGGTAATCGTTAATTAGAAGCATTTAAAAGGGTTGGGTAATTTGATGTTTGCGCAAACTAGTTCAGGAATTTCAAAACAATATCGAGGAAATAATCCAAGTGGATAAAGTACACCTCAAATGTGAATATGAAAAGTACCAAAGACAAACAATTAAAATTTCGGAATTTATGACAAAAGTCTGAACAGTCTGCACACAAAAAATTACACTGAAACAGACGCCGTTAACTGGTGGAGTATTTTTGCACATTTAATGCTAAAACTGGTTTAAAGTTGTGAAATGTTTGGAAAACTTATTTTCTTTAAAACAGTTTGATAACAAGATAAAACCAAAAGCTTCCACATTTTAATGGTTAAACTGATTTCATCGACAGTTAATACCAGATGAACAGTAGAAAAAATAACAAAATGGAACACTTTTTTCCAATCAGTATATCTTAACCAAGGTCTCATAAATGACGACAAAGCTCGTTTTGCCTGAGGCTTATTTTCATCAACATCCATCGGGGCGATTCTCTGGACGTGACTGTTTAGATCCTGAGATGCATAAAGGACAGTTCACTTCACTGACTGTTCTGTCTCTATTGATGTTTTGAATAGGCCAAAGAACGATATCTGATAAGTGAGTTTTTCTCACCTTTGATCGTCAAAACATTAACATACGTTCTGTGTGATTGGTTTGTCTGAGTTCTAAACTAGATCCACCCAGAAAATTACGCACTATGAACGTAAGTTGATCTCATTTTGATTTTTTGTAAGATAGCATTATTACTGAACCGATAATTAAAAAAATAACTTCATCTTATAAGTTCTGAAAACAGCACTGATCTAAATGAAGCAAAAAACCCATTTTTCAACTCCACAAAGTGGGAATTCTGGAATACGTAAACCAGTGCCGAGCAGAGTAGCAACGTATCATGAAAATAATTTTTCCTGTACACTGATTTCTACATTTCAGTCCGTATTCACCGACCTTGAGGTTCTGGCGGTGCTGTTCGCCTGTGCCGTGCATGACGTGGATCACCCAGGTTTGACCAATCAATATCTGATTAATTCTAGTAAGTCATGTTATGATCGGGCGTTCCACATCCCCACTGAAAAAATCACGTTAGGTTTAGCTTCTGGTTACATGTAAACAGTGGATTGTTGGAGAACAATATCTGTCGATCTTGGATGGAAGGAAAGCAATTATTATGCGTAACAGTGTACATCAAACAAACCGCCTGGTAGTGTTGCATATCTGAACTTCCGAGATCATCATACAAAATTAACTGGCCGAGCATGGGTCCAAGTGAAAATCCCCCTTTTTTCTTTAGAACTACAGATCCTAATGCCCTCGGCCCCATTATAACATGGGTTGTGTCTATTCCGTTCGTCTGACTAAAAAGCACCGGTACGACAGTTGAAACATTTCATTTGGCAAGAACTTGACAGAACTTACGCCAGCTTTGATTTATTTAGAAGATGGTTAGTGTTTCGTCGTCCGTTAGTGAGAAAAAAATCACTTGAGGGAGAAAAATCGAAGATGGTTCTTGAAGTCAGCGAAAAGAAAGATAAAAACAAGATGATAGAGGCTGAACAGGAAACACTGCACTATCAAAAACGTGGTAACCGTTTCGTGTCTGATTTCGGATAATTGGCACGCAACTCAGTTTGGTATTTTATCCACACAAGTATCTCAGCCGTGCAAGGAAACTGTCACCGGGATTTTTGATGTAAGCACTATAGTTTAGCATCTGGATGAAAGAACAAAATTTGCCCGAAAGCATACCGTCGGTTTCGCGACTGTTGCCGCTCATCAGGTATGCAAATAATATTATATTGAAAAACCAACTGGACAGTGCTCAAGTACGGGGATGACTGGGCAGGACAGTAACGGGTACGCATACCTGATAGGTGGCAAAACCCGCACGATTGTAGCGTGTTTCCGGGGAATTGTGTCCTATCATCCAGATGCAATGCTGCAATACTCATACATAAGGTGAAACTTGGAACCTCATGTCCTCATTCTGAAGGAATGTATTGACTGAACACAGAAATAAATTTCAAAGAAGCATCTGGCGAATCAGAAATGAACTCTGTCCATGCAAACGTCTCATGATTCAGATGAGGTTACAGTATCACTGACAACCACACGAAGCGTTATATAAAATCATACTCAACTGCAACGCAAAACCGTTGTGTAAAAATTTCACAGGGAACAAAAAGAGGAGTCCATTTTGGGAAACACACTGTGACACTTATGTGGGTAATTCGCCCGGTAACATCGCGAAATTTCGTCGTATCATCCGGATATAATGCCATACTACTCAATTCGAAACTTCGTAATTGAGATCATGTGTCCCCGTTCTGAAGGTTAGTCGTGTTCACCGACAAACTAACAATGGAAGAAACACCGTGTGATTCTCAAAATGGACTCTCCATCGATGCGGGCTGCATACGATTCAGATGAGATTACAGCTGTAAATCAACTGTGGAGTGCTCAAGTGCAAGGGATGATGGAACGGAAGAGTACCGTGTACGCATACCTGATGAGCGGCAAAATTCCGCGAAACCACTGGTGTGTTTCCGGGGGAGTTTTGTCCTGTCATCCACGTACAATGCCATACTACGCATTTTGAAGTCGAATAATAAAATTAAGAATTCGTGCCACATATTGTTACTATTTAGGGGACCTTGGCAATTCAATAACCTGAAAGGACCCAAAGACATTGTCGGGTTGATGAAGAGTTCCTTTTGATTAAACGGTTAAAAATGTTCTGATGAAAACGAACCGACCATCAAACCTAACTCGGTCTCATTTTATCTGACTCAGCTGGACTGTACCAGAGAAAAAATGGTACTTTTGGTAGCTGTTTGTGGCATTTTTCTTGAGGAAAAGCAATTCTGTTCTGTTGGGTGCAGACTGCCTCAATCACAAGTGAATGAAGTAACTTGATAAAATGGTTACAGGTGGTAATACACTTTATGAAACCGGGGTAGTTTAGACGCGAAGCAGTCAGTATACTTACCGCAATCTATGATTTATTTTTGTTTAAAGTTCTGAAGAACCAAATCAGTTTCGTAGTTGTGATTCAGTGACAGATTTCTTCTTTCCATGGCACACTAAACCGGTTGATTGGAGTACCCATGATATCATATTTAAAATGATTGATACTCACAAAATGTTTGTAATGTTCCGGTGTAAATCATTCCTCCCGACTATACTATCAGTAAAAGCCAGTACGCAGTACACCACATAAGTTCACATAGCAAAAAGTGCAATAGTTAGTCTGATAAGTGATTCATTGTTCAATCAAATATTATCTGAATAGTTCGTTTTCAATATGCTTCAACATGCTTATCAGCACGCTTAACTCTACCACGGGGTTGTGTTTCAACAACGATTCTAGATTTGTAACCACAGTACTGGTTTGATTTGATGGCACGATTGCGCAGAAAGTAACATATTCGAAATAGTCATATCCTTTATGTACCGGCTATCATACAAACCAAATGAATGTTTTATTGAAGCATTTTACCGAACCGACCATCGCGTTCTTTATGCGTAGTCTACTTTAGCTGGTCAATAGACAAATTGAACTTCCACAGTTGAGGACAATTGGGGCAGTCAAGTTTGGGCTTCCTAGGCTATAATTACAGTGTACTAAACATTTAAAACTGAGTGATAGCAAACGAATGTGAACCGTGACCTCTAATTAAAATTCACTTCATGAGCTATGTAACCAATGTTAGCTGGCCGTATGGATTAAAGATAAAAAGTTTTTGATCACAAGGTCAAAATGAATGATGCAGTCTGAAGTGGACATATCAGTCAGCCTGGAGCATCTTCATTTTGCTGAAGTGCATGATCTATAATAGGTCCACTCTAACTTTGATTGTCAGATGAACCAGCGGCGTTTGAACAGTTATCATTGGGGGCTTCCAACCCTTCTGTCCCGAGTTAGAATCATTGCGCCGCCCAACTGACAGCCTTTAATTGGTTGTGACTCCCTTCTTGGAAAATTGTCCTACCATTTTATAGTGAAAAAGGAGTAAACTGATCGGATTCAGTTTGCAGTCTGTTTGTGCAGTTGCAGTTAATTGGTGGCCCTATTGCCAAAAAATGGAGCTTTTCTAATCATGTCACCCATTTTCTGAAAAATAAAGACTGATCGATAAGCGTGATTTTACGCTTTGTTTGACTTCGTCGGACGCTGCACGCTAACATTGGTTCACGGTAGACAAGTTTCTGAACATCTAAGGGACGGAGTTCCGATGTATACTGACTAGCAGCCTAATTTCGACTGGTCAGTTACTGTATGCTGTAGAACTACTCGAATCAAGGCCTTGATTACAATTCCCTAATTTGTGCATCAAGAGTGCCGGTGGATGCTCCTCATAGAACAGTTCAATAGGGAAGCACAGTCGTGAGCCATTGATAGCTTTTGTGGGTTAGTCTCAGGAAACCGCGAGAAAGACAAGACTGCGGTTGCCAGTTGAAATGTTGAATGTGTGTGGTATCTATAGATCGATGGGTGAAGCTTATCAGTTGCACACGATTGGTTCCGCGGTGGTTGCCGCCCATCAGGTAAACGTACTCCTGGACGAGAGGCCATAACCGCGAAGCCCGTCGCGTGCTACGGAGGAACTTTTCCGTATACCCACATACACTACCAACATTCAGTAAGACTTAAACAACAAATTTGTATTGGCTCCACATGTGTGATTCGATTCCCTTAACTTGCTTGTTCGCTAGAAGGAAAACGAACCCCATCCATAAGAGTACCCAATATAAATTACTGTAAATGTTGTCTTGTTCGATGTGCTAACTTGTTTTGTCTGGTAAGCGATATGCAAATTTTGTTCCCCAGTCGGTCCCTGAAATTAATTGTTTCTTGATTTCTATTTTTGAATTAGCATTACACGAATTTAATAGTAGGTTGAAAACACCGACCATAATTAGGACCTTACATCTACCTTACTTTCTATCAACTATTTAACTCCCAATGACTTGAACCAATTTGTGTTGATGGTTTAGAAAACTTTCAATGGCTTTTGTATACTTGACTGTATTTAAAGAACGAAAACCTCCGTATCAACACTGCTGCCAGTGATCGAGTTATTCATACATTCTGGAAAATACTGTGCGAGATTTGATAAGATAGCTCGTGGGTGGAAAGGAATCTCTTACAATGACCTGACATTTTATCAGCGGACAGGATCCTCTTTTCCGTTTTGTAAACTTCGAAATCAGTAATGAATTACGAGTAGGTATTATGATTTATGCTAACTGCTACGAGTTATCTTACTGTGAGTGCATCTGCAAAAATGTAGATTTTTCAGTTGATCAATAACAACTTAGTGAAAGAATCACCTTTGATGCAACGATTCTGGAATTTTATAATTTTATGCTTTTATGCTAAGTTTGGAGAGCTTCGTCAAACCTTTGGTTTTCTCGTCCAAAGATAAATTCTTTGATCGACCAAGTTGGTCCTCGTGAACTTTCGATGTTCAGATAATTTCATTTTAACGTCTACTCCATTGAATTCAGTCAAGTAAAACTGTCCATCTTCTTTGGTTTTACTGGTTTAGAATGAACACCAGCATCAAATTTAAGAACGGGAATGGCTCTACTCTTATATTATCATCAGCACTCTGGTGTTGTAAGTAAGCGTCGGAATCATCTAACAGAGTGTGACTCGATCAGCACTTATCCATAGCGACACGTCATCTGATCGGTAATCTTAAGTTAAAATCTAAAACCCCAAGTTTGATGTTCGCAGTGCAGTGTTTGGTAATTTAATTGGTAGGTCTTGATTTTCTTCCAGCTAATAGATTCATTTTTTAGATGCCTAGCAATGAATAATCACCAGTTCAGTTCACTCGAAGTACAACGCAAATGCTGTATTGCTGTTCGATGGATTGCATAACAATGTGCTCGAATCAAAATCCCGACTGATAAGTAGATTCTAGTATCTCGCACATCTTTTGAGGCACCCATTCTCGCAGTTAACTACAAGACATGAAAATGTAACCCATCTTTGGAAATAACCATGCCAAGTTTGTTTCTCTAAGC